TTTCCAATTAATATATTGATCATATAATATATTAATAAATTATTTATTTCAAATTTTAATTAATTTATTATCAACATAATACTCTAACAAATTATCCTCTCTCGCCAAATGCAATCATTCTTAGTTGTTAGTTCTGAGGGCAACCTAAAATGAACTTGCTTCTCATTCAAGAATATGTCAATTTAGTTATTTGATTAGACACTCAATCCAACAGTCTCCCAATTGGATAAGACTGTAACTACAATTGCAATTATAGACCTTGAAGTAAACAACAAAGTGTGTTTTCCTAATCCACTGCTAAACTTTGATTCAAATCAGCCGTCGTCCCTAAGATAAGTGATCAACTATCCATTCGTTCTTTAAGATATCCTATGGACACGAGACATGGGTCAGAATCAGTCTCATTGTCTAAGATTTTGTTTCTCGATTTCCTGATTTGTAAAGATTTTATTGGCCTTCAAATTAAGTATACCAATTAGTCCTGGTTGGGGCCAACACTTATAATTTCAACATTAAATCATCGGGGTTCCCGATGATATCGCTTTTCCTATTAGGGAAAGATGAACGAATAAACTTTGACTACATAATTGTAAACCTTACTCACCAAATTATATATGATACTACGTTTTATAACATCAAATTACTAATGTATTTTACGTAATACCAATACACAACCGATTCATAAATTATAACTTATATTTCTCTATTTGAAGAATAGAAGATATTAAATGTCTTAGAATTACTCGTGACAAGATCCATGAAGTAATATCTAAGCGTGAGTTTATCCGATACTCAAAATCCCTATTTTCAAAGTACTCATGAATATCATAGCAATTCCAATTGCAACGTATTAACCTCAATCGAAAATCTACAATCAATTCATGACAGTCGTAATTCACTACTTTGTAACATCCCAAAAATCATGACCAAAAATTTCATTTTTATTTATTAAATACTCCATAGTTATCAAAATCATTCCATCCAAAAACATAAATCATAGTATCAAATCAGAGTATCATATCAAAACATCAGAGTAAACATCCCAAGCTAAACATCATGGTGTGTGCAATGTAGTCATCCCGAGCTTTTCCCTTTGCTACTGGAAGTACCTGAAACCAAAACTGAAAACTGTAAGCACGAAACTTAGTGAAATTTCCCCAAACTACCATATACCATACACATAATCATACTACTATGAGATACGAGCCCCAACCACACTCAACGAGATATGGACCCCATCTACAATCGGCTAACTAGGAGATACGAGCCTCGCCCACACTCCGCTAACTATGATATACGGGCCTCGCCACACTCAACTATCTATGAGATACGAGCCTCGCCCACACTCTACTATTTATGAGACACGGGCCTCACCAACACTCAACTATCTATGAGATACGAGCCTCGACCACACTAAGCTACCTATGAGATATGGGCCTCGCCCATACTCAGCTACTAAGCACACATACAAGTATCACACAGACAACAAGTATAACCAAGTCTATCAATCAATTTTGTATCCATACTCAAATAATGCTAAGATACGGTCCTTGCCCACACTTAGCTACTAATCTACTTACATAACATACACTGGCCGACATTGGTGCCTTCGACCCGTTTAAACCAAGAGGAAACTCAGCTTACTGTTGGATGATATCTGTAACGTCTCTGCCCAGAATCAGCTCTACTCACTCCCTGAACCAAAACAACCACTTAGATACCATTCCATACTCATAACCCTTAAGGGTTAACTCCGGTCAAGTCAAAGTCAATATTCTGAGTTGACTCAACTCGTCGAGTTTACCTTTCAACTCGTCGAGTTCCCATGAATCACAGAATCGCGAAAACATGTTGTAAGTCATCGAGTTTTCCTCCAACTCACCGAGTTCTTCCCTTTAACAGAATCAAGATTGTTCGACCCAACTCATTGAGTTCCTCTATGAACTCGTCGAGTTCCTTATAGTTCTAGTCTATTAAGCCCTTTCCGTAGATCTAAGGTTCTATAATATAGATCTACATTGTTTCTATGGTATACATCTATAAAGTCGATAATTTGATGGCTTTGCATGTCTCAAATGGACCTAATCTTGAGATATAGCAACCTACTTCTATGGATATGGTCTTTTCTTGGGCATGAACGAGTTTAGGACCCTTTTATGAATCTAAGGATCAAATAGCACTGAGAACGGAAGTCTTTAGCATAAGGACTATGAAGGTTTATCATGCTCCAAAAATGGGGTCAAAAGACCTATAAAACAAGACTAAGAGAAATCTAAGCCATTAAACATCAAGTTTGAGACTTTTACCTTATAAAGTTGCCAAAGACGGATGAGATCCCAGATCTAGCGCTTCTCCTCAAGCTCAATGACCTTCTAGTTCTTCCAAGTCCTTCACCAAGCACAAGAACACACGAAAATCCACTCAAAACCTCTAGTTTCTCAACAAGGAGGTCACAATACGATTTAGGGTTTTAGGGAGGCTGATGAACGGCTGGTGGAAAGATTAAGTCCTTTAAATAGAGTGCAGAACCCTAGAAATTAGGGTTTATCCTCTTCCAGCCTACTCATCGAGTTGATGCCTCTCTACTTGTCGAGTAGGTTACTTAAATCACGCGACCCATATGATCTCTACTCGATGAGTTTAGGGCTTCCAACTCGTCGAGTTGCTCTTATAATTTGAATAAGTAGTAAATTAATTACATACCAAGATCCAGGCGTTACATACTTACTTCTAAAAGTATGAATGACTGTGGAAGTTTGAATCATTCAAATCAATCAAGAAGTATAAACATGCAAAAATAAACACAATAATAAATAATTGAATAAGGAGGATAGGGTTATTCAACATCCTTAACGGTTATCTCATAAGGGTATTATGGTGGATTCGATTCCCTATCCCAATTGTTCTTTTACTGTGGAGAATTGACCATATTTTTGCAGGGTTACCGAGCTGATTGTTTTATAGTCACAGATCGTTGTTTGGTGGGGTTTACAAATTCCTTCCTAACTTTTTGTGGGGTCTCTTATCCAGTGGTCAAATTCTACTTCTTCGAGAGTCGGTCAACTAAAGGCCTTTAATGCAATGGTCTTGACTTCTTTTTGGTGCATTTGAAATTTCAAAAATCCTGTGATTTTTGGAGCGACCTTCCCCTAGGATATCCATGCTTTTTGATGATGTTGCTTATAGGGTGTTTTTTGGATTTCTAATAGGTGCACAAAAGCCAAGATTAGTTGGAGCTCTTGGCTTTATAATCTTATTTTTGCTACAATTTTGATGTAATGTTTCTTTTCTAACTTCTTACTAGTTTTTATAAAATTTCACCGTTCCATATATATATATATATATATATATATATATATATATATATATATATATATATATATATATATATATATATATATTACATAAGCAAGCTTTAAATTGTAAAGTTTGTTATAAAAACATTATGCTTTAACAAAACAAAATCTCGAATAAAAAATATGGATAAAAACTTAAAAGGGTGACCTATTTTTTGATTTATACACGTTTAGTCATTGGGATTTTTTTTGTTTATATTTTCTCGTTGAACTTATTTGATTGTTAAAAAAAAACACCATTATGACATGCAATCATAGGTTTATCCGGTTTTCGACGTATTTGACAGCTCCGCCGATGCTCCGATCATCTTCGACAGGTCTTCAACATTCATGATTTTTCCGATGAACTCAAGAAGTTCTGCCTATTATCTCCTTCTGTCCCTTTCTTCTATTTTCTCATGAACTCAAGAACTCCAATACATACATCAAATTTGTGATGGACACACACATACATACACATCAGATCACTGTTAATCATCTTCAACCTCCGACCATGGTGTTCTTAGGCAAATCTAAAACGATTTCTTGAGCAAACATTAGTTTTTTGAAGAATAAAACCTTAGAAACGATTTCATGTTTGATTTTTGAAGAGCAAACTTAATTTATAGAAAGGAAATTGAAGGGTTTTGAATAAAATAAATCATCCATGGCAAATCTAGCAAGAAAACGAAATCATACACACATGCAAATATGGGTTTGTCAACTGCTCTAACACACACACACACACTCACAAATATGAAGAAGCTCCCAAGAACACGATGAATAACCATGATAAACCAGACAAAGATCTCAAGAACACAATGAGAAGACTCATCAGAAAAACCTTAGATTTTAAGTTTATTTTAGAAGAATCCTACTGAAAGTCGAATTTTTTCCGGATTAAGCTTACAAACTTGGACCTGGGGTAAGTTATATTTCATAAATCGAACACAAATGAAGATGAATACACAAACACAATGAACAAACATATACAGACGTTTGATCTATTTGAAGCTCACAAACTCCAGGATTTTGAACCCAATTCTTGAAATTTCGTTTTAGGGATTTTTGTTTCTTCACCTCAAAACAAAAACGATAGCGTATCGAAAAAAAAAAAAAAAAAAACTTTGTCGGAAAATTCATGTTTGATCGGAGAAGAAAATTGAAGGCTCGTTAGAGCTATTCACACCCGCTAATCATAAAGATTAATTGTTTAATTGTGTACAAAATAACAAGAAAGTAATCAATTATTAAATGTATAAAAAATATATATATTATCCATTTAAATCATTATCTCTCAAAAATATTATATATATCTTGTTGAAACTACTCCAAAATCATTATCCACATTAACCATTGTTTCTATTGGTGTCTCTTATTTCTTCGTAAACCCCATGTGCATCATCACCCTCAATTGTCAAAACCCACCTTTTCACCCACCATCCTTTTTTTTTTTATCAATCTGTATCAGCACAAACTTCCACTTCCCTTTCTAAATTCTCTCCCATACTCAAATGGATACGCTTCAAATCTTCCCATTCTTTGTATAATCGTTCCCCTACCTTAAGAAACCTACAAACTTTTCCAACAAAAATGGCTACAAAGTTCGTCAGTTCTTACATTCTCTCTCTAACTCTGTTTTTGTCTCTCGTCTTTGTGTTTTCCATGGCTTTCACACCTCAAGACAACTTCCTCATCAACTGCGGTTCAACCACAAACGCCATGGTCGACGGCAGAGAGTTTTTGGGTGATTCAAACAAACCCGGGTCGGATTTTCTATCTTCAGACAAATCAATCACTCTATCAAACCCGAACCGAAATTTATCCGAGCTCTACAGTACTGCGAGGGTTTTCACTAGTCCGTCGACTTATGGTTTTGGGATCAGTAAACCCGGAACGCATTTGGTACGTCTCCATTTTTCTCCGTTTAATTCTCAGAATTTTAAACTGAGCAGTTCAAATTTCAGTGTTTCATTACATGGGTCTTTGATTTTGAACAATTTTCGTGCTGAATTCACTATTGTAAAGGAGTTTATCCTCATGGTAGATGAAACTCACCTCGATATAATGTTTGATCCTTTGGGGAAAACCGGGTTTGCGTTTGTTAATGCAATCGAAGTGTTCTCTGCTCCAATCGATCTTATCGTTGATGGTGGAGCAAAGTCGATTAATGCCGATGGAGTTCAAGAATTCAAAAATCTGTCATCGCAGATTTTAGAAACTGTTCATAGAATCAACGTAGGAGGCTCAAAATTAACACCATTTAACGATACCCTTTGGAGGAATTGGGTTCCTGACGAACAATTTTTAGCTATAAAATCATCTGCCAAAATCGTCACCACCACAGAGCTCCCAAATTATCAAAAGGGGGGCGCCTCAAAAGAAGTCGCTCCAGCCAATGTTTATATGACTGCTCAAGAAATGAACAGGGGAAACCTACCCATGAATTCCATCTTCAATCTCACATGGGGTTTCCCAATCGATTCGAGAATTGGTGTTCGCCATTTCGTTCGATTACATTTCTGTGATATCGTTAGTCTTTCAGTCAATCAGCTCTATTTCAATGTATTCATCAACGGCTTCCTTGCTTATAAGGATCTTGACCTTTCATTACTTTCGTTTCATGTGTTAGCATCTCCATTTTATGCTGATTTCGTTATCGAGTCCGATCATTCCGGGGTTCTTGAAATCAGCGTTGGCCCGTCTGATTTGAGTACAAGTTTGAGAAAAAACGCAATCTTAAACGGGGTTGAAGTTATGAAGATTGTGAATCCCGTAAGTCGGGAGTTCAGATCGAAAAAAAAGCACATTTGGATTTTGATACGCTTAATCGTGGGAATCTTAATTCTTTTGTCTTCTGCAATTCTCGCAATCTTCATTCTTTTGAAATTAAGGAAAAAAATTAAAAAGAAAACAAGACGATCCGAAAGTAACGGTTGGACTCCATTACGTGTTCAAGGAGGTAGCACACATAGTAAATTCTCAGAAGGAACACACAATATTACCACCAAATTAAAGATCCCATTTGTCGATCTACAATCAAGCACCAACAATTTCGACAAAGATCTAATAATCGGTTCGGGTGGATTCGGTATCGTTTACAAAGCAATTCTTCGCGACAACTTTAAAGTCGCGGTCAAACGAGGTGTCCCCGGTTCCCGACAAGGTCTCCCGGAGTTTCACACGGAAATTACGATTTTGTCCAAGATCCGACACCGCCACCTCGTGTCCCTAGTCGGGTTTTGTGAAGAACAATCAGAGATGATTCTTGTCTACGAGTATATGGAAAACGGCCCGTTAAAGAATCACTTATACGGGTCGAATTTACCTCCATTATCATGGAAAAAAAGGCTTGAAATATGCATCGGGGCGGCCCGTGGGCTTCATTATCTTCACACGGGTTCGGCCCAAGGGATCATTCATCGTGACGTGAAGTCGACGAATATATTGTTAGACGATAATTTCCTCGCGAAAGTAGCGGATTTCGGGCTTTCCCGATCCGGCCCGTGTTTGAGTGAGACTCATGTGAGCACGGGTGTGAAGGGTAGTTTCGGGTATTTGGATCCGGAGTATTTTCGGAGACAACAACTTACGGATAAATCGGATGTTTATTCTTTTGGGGTTGTGCTTTTTGAAGTGCTTTGTGCCCGGCCCGCGGTTGACCCATTGGTGGGCCGGGACGAGGTGAATTTGGGGGAGTGGGCGGTTCAATGGCAGAAAAAGGGTTTGCTTAAACGGATTGTGGACAGTCGGATCGTTGATGAGATAAAACCGGAGTCATTGAAAAAGTATGGGGACACTGCAGAAAAATGTTTGGCGGATTATGGTGTTGATAGACCGACGATGGGTGATGTATTGTGGAACTTGGAGTATGCACTTCAGCTTCAACAAACCGAAACCATGGACCCATCAGGTGTGGGTCAGACCGGTGCACCGGAAATTGTAGCCGGTGTGGGTGTGGGTGTGGGCTCGAGCAATGGTGATGGTTCGCTTTCAGGCATAAGAACGAGCCAAGTGTTTTCCCAGTTGGTGACCAATGATGGTAGGTGAAGGAATAAATGGGGAATGGGCCAAGATAATGAAAGGGTAAAAATGACTTTGTAGTGTGTGTTTTTGTTTTGGTAGTGAATGGTGGATAATGATACCGGAGATGCTGCTAGAAAGTAGAAGCCTCGTGACATAGATGTCAACGGGATATCACACAGCTACTGTTGATACTTGTTTTCAAATTATTGAGAAACCGGTTTTTGATGCTGTCCGCTTCGAAACCAAACCGGTTATATATTAATTTATTAGTTTTTTTTTTTTTTTTAAATAATTTGAAAGAAATATCTTTTTAAAATTTTAACTCATGAATTTAAAAGTACCGAGTTTATAAATTATAACTTTATGTTTTGATTCATGCCTTCATGGCCCAGTGTCGACTAGCTAGACTAGATTGATTGACCCAGGTTTATACTTAGTAATACATTTGGGACAAACGATTTTTTTTAGAAAGAGGGGACAAACGAAATTGGAATTGGAATTAGATGGATTTGAAATTTTAGCAGATTAAAATCAAAAGCTCTATCATTATAGTTGACAAAGATAAAGATGAAATTCAATTTATGTGATTTGGTCCAAGATGTTTTGAATTACAAATTTGTCATTTGCTTGGAAGTTATTTTCAAACCCCAATCAATACACACTGTCACACTGAACTACTTTCTTTTTATTCTATTTTACTTTATTTTTTAGTGGAGTGGAGTGGAAAATCTTTGGATAGGTGGGTTTTTTTTTTTCTCCCAAACCCATCAAGTTTTGCAAATCCATGTTTACAAACCACCATCTCCACTGCATAATGGACCGTCCTCTACTCCCACTCTACTGGCAATGATCAACCCCAAAAATAATCATAGGAAAGGCGACTTTTTATTAGAACTAGGGCTCTTAAATCGGTCAGTCGTATCGTGTTTTTGTCTGATACAGCATGATAAGATTTTGTATAACATGAACACGACACAACATAATGTCGTGTTTTTTTTTTCATTAACACGAAAACGAACCAATTAAAACACGACAACACGACATGACATGATAAAGATAATATTACATAACTATCAGTGTATTTCATTCATACTTAAAGATATATAACATGATAAAAACGACAAACACGAAAAAACTCGACAACCACATGCTTAATCGTGTCGATTTATGAACACAACACGACACGGCATTGTGTTTTTTAATCTTGACACGAACACGACACGGACATGAATTCGAATTTTGATTTCGTTTCTTTTCATGTATTTTAGTCGTGTCGTGTCATAAATTGACACCCCTAACTAGAACTTGTGTTAACCAAAGAGTATAAATTTTAATTAAGGACTTAACTTAGATCAAAAACAACAAACATAACCAAAAAACTTACTTGATGTAGAATCATCGATAATCTATAAAGATAGAGGCTTACATGATTGCAATGTTCTAAGATTTACATTCCCTTTAAATAGATTTTCTAAGAGATACCCTAAAAATCAGATTTACAGTCCCTTAAATATAATTTGATATAAAATTGATAAATTTAAATATAAATCTAATTTTCATATTTCATTAGACCTTGATTCAAGCCAGAGGATCAAAGCCATCTTTTGATCATTAATATGTATGTAAATCTTTAATAGTCAATTGATTATACAAAACTTGCTCTTCAATAGTTGGTCCATATTAGTATGCACTTATTCCATATTGATAACCGGTAAAGATAAATCCTTATAAGCATAAAAAACCTTACAATGCTTTCTCCTACGTTGGACAAGTAAATTTGAACAAATTACATAAATTGTCATAAACGCCAACCTATCTTACTTTAAATCGTTGATCCAACGCTATTGGTTTTTCTTGTTTGTTTTTTTTTTACCCAATTTTCTAATTATAGAGTTTGAAGTATTGTTTCTCTAAGAACAACGGGTGACTGGTGAGTCGTGGATTTTCTCACCGACAATGTGTAAGGCTACATAGTCTCACGTGACAAGGGTTTGTTCACTTTCTTTTTATGTAATTCTTGTATTTATAGAAGTTAATGCAATGCAAACCCTAATGAAGTTTTTCTACAATATACCACATGGTATCGATCATGTGTAGTGTCTGTTCATCACCATAACAATCCTAGTAATTTTGATGTTCACTTATTTTTTCGATCACAATTGTTATTTGCATTCAACGTCCTCTTCTCCACACCAACGATCTCGACGTCCTCTTATCCATACTCACGCCCTCAACAGTCGCAACAACAACCTTCAACCATCTCTCCTTCTCCAACCCATTAGTGGTCCACTCACTACAATACTTCTACCCACGATAATCTTTCCAATAATTATTTCTCTTTTTTACTTCACTTGTCTTGCGACCTCTTTTTCCCGTCACCATTAGCTCTTCATCTGCCTATGTCACGCTTTCCTAGTTCTTAACCTTTAATGTTAGTCAACTTGTATATTCATAAATTAATTTGTGCTCATAATTCAACTTTAAGTTGATAGTCGATGGTTCTACACATAAATCATGGCGTCATATATTTGTTAGGTTATTGGTTATATCACATGTAAATCCATCCCGAACGTTGGTAATAATGAAAGTTGGGAGTCCGTTATTCATGTATAAAATCATGGTTTTATTCCATTTATGAACCTAATATTATCTTAAATTATATCTAATGACAATTTCAATATCAATATCTTTGGGGCAAACCATACGAATTATTTCTCATAATACAATGTCTTGAATGTTGCAACTTCAAGACCAACTTCTTAACACCGAAAAAAGGATTCTTTTTCTAATGTCGGATTTTGTCATTCCCTCAAAAAGTCAGTTGATGTCTTGGTCTTGTCTAATGTTGATTCCTCTATCAACAAAGTTGAGTTAGTATGCAAATTCTCCTTCAACCCCTCATTC